TTGTTGCCAATGGTTATTGTATCTAGTTGCTGACGATGCACCAACAACCAATCAACTGCCAGCGATGGTATTGTCGAATCACGGATTGGTGGAACATCACGCCATATCCAGCCACTATTATTCAAAATAATTAAATTCTATATGTTACTTTATTTTCTACATCAATAACGCTTTGTACTGTTTTAATTATGGCATTAGTTTTACGTTGGCGTAATTGATAACATTTATTATTTAACATTTTTATCTTATACATTTCATAATCAATCTTTAAGATTTAGGGTTTAAGATAAGACTACTTTATAAATAAATATTGAAACAAAAATAATAAATAATTTCGAAAATTTCAATTAATAAAAATTATTAATTATCAGACAAAAATCAGCCCATAAATTAAAAGTTACTTCAACTTAATAACAATGTTAGTAACTGTTAAAAATGTCATTACATGGCCGCTCGATCGATATCTATTTTGCAACTTATAGTTCGATATAGCGGTTAAGAATGACCGTGTCGAATTGGTCGGCTATAACTTTCAGGATGTCGTTATCGTTCAAAGACAAGATAATCTATTATAACTATATAAACATGGTAATTTAGCAGCTAACTAAATAAAGTCAAAATCAATACAACATTGATAATACTAACAAATATTTCTAATGAATCTATGCCTCAGCTACCAAAGACTATGAATTGTATGACATTCTGCGAAGACCCATAAAAGTTATACGCACAAAAAAATAAATAAACGCACACATGTGGGCAAAAACGACACAACTAAAATTTGATAAAAATCGGAAATATTTAACGATAACGTAAGACAATGCGCGAAGTGCCAATCTCGAGAAAACTGCATCTCGGGATTGTTTGTCAAGTGGGCATTGTGAACATTTCCGTATTAATGTTAACAAAATTAAGGATAATAAACAATAGCTTATAATGGCGAACGGCTATGGAGTGGAGTTCCCTGCCTGCAGACTTGTTCCCTGAACGGTATTACTTGGGTCTTTTCAAGGTGAAAGTGAATAGGCATTATTTAAATGTGCATGCTACATAGTCGATCTCTTCGTCATTTTCAATTAAAAAATGAAACAAAAATCTAACAACAAAGGCTCAATAGTATACATTTTAAAGAAACCTGAATTAGGAAGATATTGAAGAATTCTGCGTATTAACAGACAATGCAGTAGCAACGTAAACACCTAGAGTGCATGGTACAGAGTACAGAACACAGAGCGTTTCGAATGGTTGATCTTTCGATTAAGGCGAAGTATTTTAACGTGAGCCTACATTTTAGGAGGTAAGGTGGGGCCACCTCACGCGTCTCTCGCGCGCTTAAAATAATAAGAAATACATATAAAGATAAAAGAATATATCAAAAACAAATTAATCACATTTTGACAAAAATAAGTATTAAAAAAAGACAGATTCAAAAATAAAACTTATAAAATTAAGCCACATCTAGTAAGTTATCGAGCGCGGTCTGCGAGTGTATCTGTGGTTACACTCATACTGACACAGTTTGGTACCTGAGATCGTGTTGTCTGTTGTCTTAAAAAAGCATGCAGTCGAATTGAGGTTCTCCTCTTTTAAAGTCGGTTAAAAAAGATGTAATTTACGTTTCTCTGTTTTTCACATGTAAGTGAACTATGTGTAATTGTTAGTGAGAACAAATGTCTTAATCCATAACCATTAGGGTGTATCTCAGTGTAGTCGAATGCTATATAATAAATTTTATATGTATGTTACTTTGTTAAAAATTTTAATTTAATTTAATGTAGTTTGTATGTTGATTTAAGGTTGCCGTCGACATTGACCTACCAAACGGTTGACGTCAACACTTGTAATTGTTATGTTAACATTGTAAATCACCTAAGTCAAATAGGGTAAGAATGTGTTGTGAACATAATGTTAGTGTTGCTAATAAATAAATAAATAAACAAAATTAATATAAATTAAATAAGAACGGGCTGAGAAAATTTGGCACAGATACGACATCGGTCCCGATGGCGACTAGACGGCGTAGCGTGTCGCTAAGCCGCTGGGCAATTTTCAAATTTCGGGATAACTGTGAATTCAATAACTATAGATAGGGCTTTAGTTGAAAACCAATATTTAGCAGGTTCTCTGTAGTACCTAAAGAGAAATATCTTCATATAAAAATTATGCGCAAGTTTATACATTTTAGTCTTAAATAATTCATTTTAGATTATAATTTAACCATGATTGGGTAAAGTACATCCTATCGTGTAAAAAAATTGCATTCTTTAAACAATACCTTTAAGTGCATATTTTTTGTAAGACCGTTACTAAACAGTAAAATAGCAATATTGCTATTAAAGTATATAGTTTTTACCGCTTCTACTCCAGTGACTCGCCTTAAGAAGCAAAAGAACCCACCACCACTCTACTACCGCTATAACACACCTTATTTATTCACCTTATTTATTATAAAATACTGGGCCCAGTATTGCTTCTTGCTTCTTTGATAATGAATTCACCGCGAAAATCAAGATTTTCTTCGCTATTGTATTGGCAGATGTTAAATTGATTTGGTGACACTTTCTTATTCTAAAATACAACATCGAGGTTACTTCATGATCAAGGCCACTGGCTAACAGCGAAAGTTGTTTGAGCCCATGAAATCATTTTAAGTATTTTGGGAAAAGATTGGGAACCATTCTTCAACCACTTTTCTCATTTGGCTATTCCCAAAGTATGAGACATTTTAAAAAGTAAGCAAGTCTCTGCGATGAGAAATAAGATGAAGAGTGGATTTTAATTCTGATCTTAAAAATTATCATCCTGATAACTTCTACAGATATATCTCAACGCCGAACTTGGTACCAACCGCAACAATAAAACAAATTCTGAGTAACTAAAACCACTTTAAGGAGCTCCCTTGCCCTTCAAAACCGGAACTCAGTAATGCCTACTGCTTGGCGGCAGAAATAGATAAGGTGGCAACACTTAACTGGACGAGATCTTTCACAAGAAACTCTACTACTAAAATAGGATATATCAGGAGCGTAGCATATCTGTCTATGCATGCTCCAGTAGTACTTTCAATATAGGAAGTGACAAATTAATGCTTTGGATCATTGACCTACCAAGGTCAATGCTTCGAATACACTTTGTACCTAATAAAAATTCGAAAACTGTTTCTTTCTCTTAGTCAGCAAGAAGTTATTAGACTTATTTAGAGACTGCTTGACAGCGAGTTGCTGGAAAAGTCTTAAATTTCCTCTTACGAGACCCATTTCAAGGCTTATTGTTCTTCTTTTTACGCGGGTAACCTGTGGAACCGTTATACACAAAAGTCGTACATTGTTCTTCACACCCTATACAACAATGCTTTTAGGATGCTGTTGTGACTGCCTAAGTCCTATAGCACTTCTGCGATGTTTGCGGAAGCGCGGCCAGACTCCTCCGTACTATGGAAGAAAATCGCTTCTCTTTTAAACAGGCTACGTAACAGAAGCAACAGCATCTAGAAAATGATTGCTAAGAAAATGGACGAATGGATCTAAGTTTAAAACAATGTAGTAACAAGTCTGTTACTAATTTAAATATGAGTGTACGTTGTCCGAAAGTAATAAATTATCATTATTATTTGTATTGATAGAGTTATTACTAGAATACTATCCTGTACATTATCAAAGCCAAACTAGAGACAGGATGTTACTTGATGGAGCATTAAAGTAAATGGACGTTTGTTCAATTAGGCGTAAGTACTCAAGTTATTAAAAACTTTGTAGTCGATCAAACTTTAAAAGCGACTCGCGAATTCACTCTCTTTCTGAGAAGTTTTAACTACACACAAGTCATAACAATATTTTTATAGCAATAGAGCTTCTTGTGAAAGAGTCTGTCCCGGAAAATACTACCGTCATACTAATATCTGCCATCTAGTAGTAATATTAGCATTGCTTTTACGTTTTAAAGAGTAGGGATGCTGGTAGAACTAAATATATAAATATTTAGACAACATCACATGCGTTGATCCCAAAGTAAGTAATTAAAGCACGTGTTATGGAAAACGGAAACAATGACGGCACCACAAACACACGGACCCGTGACAATAAGAAAAAGTTTCTCTACATTGATCAGGCCGATCGAACCCGAGACATCAAAAATAGCAACACCATGAAAATCTGGCTTGCAGACAGCCACTCGACCACGGTAGACGAAGACAAAAAGAACAAAAAAGAAAACAACTACAGTCACATGGAACTTACCAACTTTATGTCTCGGGGTGACGGGTACAGTACTAATGCCTCTTAGGTCTTTGCGATTTAAAGCTCTGAATGATTTGTCCTGTCACTTAATTAATTACCAAACAAAAACGTATTATTAGTATAATATTGGGCCTAGAACTCGCCCTTGCGGTAGACCCCTTAAGGTCGCAATATAGAAAGGATAATCATATTGAACCAGAGTACGAACGATGATTTCTTAAGAACATCCTGTAAAGCTGATAAAATATATTTTTTTAACTATTGTCTAACCCCAGACAAATGTTAAAATGTTAAAAAGATGGATGGATTGTGTGAAAAATGACATGGATAAGAAAGGTTTGAGTATGGAAATGACGGCTGATAGGGGAGAGTGGAAGAAAAATACATGTTGTGTCGACCGCTACTAGCGTGGGATAAGGACAAGGAGAAGAAAAAGACAAGTAATTATTTAACAAGAAGACCGATAGACTGTGCATATATAGTATACATTATAAAGTATTAGGCCTAGGACTGCTCCTTGTGGTACACTTCTGACAAAAATACTTTCAGTAATGGATATCCATCACTGTGAACTAAAAGAGACTTTGTAAGTTTTCTAAGACAATCAATCAAGAAAAGAAAATATTGGAACCACAAAAATACAACTCATATCACATGTAAATACTCGAAAAATCTATTACAACATTAGTTAACAAAGAAGTAAACAAATGCATACACAAGGAAGTCTAAAAAGTACATTTAAATGGTGACATTTTTCTAACTTACCACTCAAATAACAGAAAACATAAAGTCAGACACAAACACACGGAACACTCGGTAACTGGTTGTAAACTGAACTCATTCGCGTTTGTTAACCGTTACATTAGAAGGTAGTGATGTGTGCAATAACTATTGAAAAATAACGTTGTTATAACGTTATCGATATTTTGACGATCATTAACCCAGGTTACGCAATGTAACGATAAAAAGATCTCTGGTTTGATTCCCAATAGAATCATTTAGGGTTACAAACTGTTTTAAATTGCTTCTGATCTGGTGGTTTTCAGCAGTACTGTAGTAAATTTAATCTTTTTTATGGGACTAAGTAATTTTTCTAGTTGTGTACCTTATTAACATTGTTTTTCATTTTTCTGGGACTGGTTTTAACTACATTTAAGGACCATAAGCTAGTAAATGCAGTATGGCACCGTCGAGGAACATAAGTAGACAAATCCTATGTGCCTGCACATAGGTTCCCGGTCAGCCGTGACCATGAAACCTGTAAAGAGTCCGAAACGTTGGTTTGTTTTAAAAACAAATATACGCGATTTAAATCCGAAAAAATAGTTTTACAACAATAACAGTTTAAACAATAACATATACTTTACTACAAATACGAACACTCCCATCACTACGCGTATTAAACGCCTCCCACCACAACATGCCACAGTCCCTATTCCATATCGCTACCAAACAACGTACGCGCATTTAGAATGATACGCTTTATTACCAAACGCCACGGTTCATTACAGTGACGTATATAATGTTGTTTACTATATTATCGCGATAGTATATTGATAACATTATGTAATTAATATCTAGTGTTTTTATTATTATGTACAAATAGCTTGTTCGAGTACGATCCAACTGCCGACACAGCTGAGTTTTTTCATCATTGTTATTTAACCCTTTTTATGAAACCCTGTGTCGCGGGTGCCATGGACACTCCCATAGACAACCACAAATTACACCCAAAGTCACGAAAGAAATGTAAGCCATACAAATATTTCTACCGGCCCGGGAATCGAACTTCCGCGTGGCAGTCAGACATGGTAACCGTTTAGCCACGGAGACAGTTAAAAATTATATTTACTAGGCAACAAAATTTAATTTATCTGAATAATACAACCGCGCAATCAAAGCGCGGCCGCGTGCCGGGACGCTTATTTAAGTTAAAACATAAAAACCGAATAAATAAAGCGTATTTTAACCGACTTTAAAAAAGGAGGAGGTTCTCGATTCGACTGTATGTCATTTTTTGTATGCATGTTCCACGATAACTCCGATAATTTGCGAACCGATTTTTATGATTGTTTTTTTAAATTTTTATTGAATAGTTTCAATTATTTTTTTGTGAAATTACTCCACTAGTTTCATTGACTTACAAATAAATGGACGACGGGTCTATTACAAAAACCACGAAAAAAATGTCCCAAGTCAACCTATTTAAACGTAGTGACATGTAAAGGAATATGAAAAAGCTAAAACGTTGAATTTAAATTGTAATGTCATCGCAGTACTGTCTAATTTTGCTTGCTTCGCTGTCAGTCGAACAAACGAAGACTAAAGCGTGAATGACGCTCTGTATACGATTTTAACGCCCTATAAGTTCGGACACTTTTTAGCGCGGACCCGACGTCCATATAATTGTAAGTCAATGACTAGTTTGTTATATTTATCAGAAAAAATTCCTGCGATCCGGCCGGACTCGAACCGATTCTTTTTTTGTTGGAAAGAGGATATCTCAGATGTGATCCCGTTTAAATTTGAAGAAAATATTCCACCTTTAAGTGTGGCAAACTAAGGAATGAATGACTTTTGAGGTATTCAAAAAAAAGGAGAAAGCTCTCAATTCGACTGTTTTTTTTTTCTTTTTTGTATGTATATTACGCGATAACTCCGGTATTTGTGAACCGATTTTCATGATTCTTTTTTGTTGGAACGAGGGTACCTCCATAGTGGTCCCATTTCATTTTGAAGAAAATCATCCACCTCTAAGGGTGGCTGATCACGCATGAACATTCATTTTTATAAATAGCGCCTAAATTTTACTTAACTTGGTTTTGCTATTGTCCAATTCAAGGCGTTTTTCTCTCTCTATATACTTTGAGTAGTGAGAACCAATTTTTACTTTTTCCAGTGTCAAGTCCTGTTTAGTGGCGAACTAGATGTAATTCCACGTACTTCTGAGGTCAGTTTTTTTAGTACTCTGTACTGTTTTTGCCATGAAAGTTAGACGCACGCGGTCGCTGCGCAGCAGCAACGCGGACACCGATCGGTGACCGCGCGATGGCCGCACGGGGTGAGCGCGATGAAATGCGCGTAGATTGCGGCCTAAGTAGAGGTTTATTCTCATCACAAGGAACGCTGTTCGACTTTACAAGTTTTCCTTGCTATTAATAATATTATTGGTTGGCCTATGTATAGTCCTACTGATGGGCTCAGGCCTCCTCTTACAACAAGAGGGCTTGGGCTTGTAGATTGTAGTTTTAGATAGATAACACGTTTATTCAGCACAACAACACCAACAACAGAAACAAAATATTTACAATCACTTCACAGAGTATAACATGAAAGCATATAGAACATTCATTATTAATTTTATTCACATTTATTTAGAACACATACTGTGAGAAAAACAAACAAATACTATAAGGACTGATAAAATTTTATTGTACCTACGACTACAGTTTGTGCTGAAATGGCCCTGACTCAGCCTAAATACTGTAGACCGAGAGAAGTCAGACAGTGCTGGTTTTCTGCCAGTACCATATGGTGAGCGATCGCAGCGCAGTAAGTCATGCCACCAAAGTGCATCACACGCAAATACACTCGTATATACCTAGCTCTAAATACTATATATATATATATATATTTTACTTGATATATATATCAAGTAAAAGTGTAAAATGTAAAGCAAGTAATGTAAGTAGTGTAAGTAATGTAGGTCAGCAATATAAATAATAATGTAAGTTTACAAACAGAATATTCAATTATAACAATAGCCTATATAAGTTCCGTACATATATATAAATGAATATATATAGGTACGGAAATTTATTTTAAGGTATCAAACGCATTGAATAGGGAAATATCTGTGTAGCGAGACACATCTGCTCTGACAAAAGATGTTTTTTGTGTTCACGCTTAAATCGTTTTTTTTATTGATGTCACGCAATGGAGGTGAAATAGCATTCCATCACTTACTGGCGCGATACCTGAAACCGCCGCGAAAAGCAGTCGATCTGTGTTTTGGGATGTTAATAATATTTTTAGAAACTAATCGGAATTTATCACCACTTACATGTTGTGACCCATTAATTTTATGGTATAGATAATCAGGTTTACGGGTTTTAACTATATCAAACATTAGGCAGGCCAAATATAGCTCTGACGGGCCTCCATTTTCAGAATGCCGAATTTTTATTTTATATATAATATGTGTGCGAGGAGGAATTCGAAAACAATAGCGAGCACAAGAATTTTGCACTCGCTGGATCAGTTTTTTTGAGCTTTTTTTGAGACAGCCACTATACACCGTGATACTGTAGTTCAGCCTAGACAATACCAGTGCCTCACAAAGCAGAACTCTCAGATCCTGGCTGATATAAAATCTAAAATTATACAGAACTTTGAGGCGATAGAAACAAGAGCGTGTGACGTCCAATATATAATTTTCAAAACGCAGCTCACTATCCATTTGCAACCCAAGATTCATAATGTTTTCTCATAATATATTCCTTCACCTTCAAGCACATGGTTTTGAAATTGAATTTCGCACATAACCGAAAAACCCAGAGGTGCAAGCTTGGATTCGAACCGACGACACTCTAGAGAGGTGGTAGATCAAACTAAAGCTACCACGGCTGTTCTGCTATTAGTAATAATAATAATAAATGGCTGCGTTTCGGTGACCTTTTTTGGAAAACCGAACGTTTTGTCTGTGCAATACAGGATGAAATTATCAAGACGCGGAGCTATCGGAGATATTTCCCAAAGGACGGTACCGCAGGCATATGTCGGGCATGTGGTCGTCCCGGAGAATCACCAAGGCATATTGTTTCCGGTTGCTTCGCTCTTGCTCTAATACAATCAGGCAGGCAAAATGTTATATCAAGAGATAGCTCTGAAGGACGGACTCGTGCAACGAGGTATTACAAGTATACCCGAAGCCAATACTAGAAAACGACCCCACCAAAATCTATTGGGACCGATTCATTAACACAGACTATAATACGAAGACGATATAGAATCGATCGCATTTGAGGATATTTCTTGTGGACGTTACCATTCCGCATGACAAGGGTCTCGTGAAAGCCGAAATCGAAAAACGTAGGAAGTATTTGGATATGGCGCACGAGATCACCGTCATGCGGGATGTGGCCTCCACTGAAAGAATTCCTATTATTTTGTTCGCAAATGGGTTAATTCCAGTCACTTCCGCTCTCAGCTTGAGGCGGTTGGATTTCTGTGGTGTCTTGCTTCCAGCACAAATGCAGAAGGCGTTCCCGCTCTACGGCACGTATTGTACACCAGTTCAAAATCTGAGTCCCTGACCACCACCACCACCAGTTCACAATACCGCCTCTCCCTTAAATTCAAAATTTATCTTTTAGGCCATGAAGAGGCGCGAATTTCTTTAAGAACGACTTCATTTCAGAAAAAGTTTCCATAATTTATATCATAATTAAACAATCTCAAATGTAAAGTCAACAGCACATCAAGCAAGAGGTACACTTTTGTTCCGTTATCGCCTCTAGTGCTTATGCAACGGCATAAGTTATGTCAACATGTAGCTTGATTTTTTCTGTGATACCAAATAATGAGGTGAATAAGTCGTTCGCCTGGCTCACAACAAGGACCTCTACGGCTACTAAAAAAATAAAAAGAAATGACAAAAACAATGCAGTTTTATTATTACAATTCTTTTATTTATAAACATACAAAGTCTAACATCATTGTAGGCTTAACTTCTAGAAATAGGCTATACACAAGCCAGTCCTTGAGTCTTCCGATAGATCCATACATTTTTTGGATATAACCGAAGCACAGCTAGCAGGACGAAGCGAAGCTTTTTTGGCATCGACTCAAATTATAGTTTCTAAACGAAGCTAGAATGTTCCTCAACCGATAAAGCGATGCCACAAGGGCGTTGCGTCGACGTGGCGACATTGAAACACAATAATTTGAACGTACCGTACACATGAATGCGTCTTTTGGTCATAAATCCCCTGCAGCTTGATTTTGATTGCCTCTTTCGATCGAAAAACTGCGTCTTTTCCGAGTCGAGGCGCGTAATTCCGATTCACCACTGGCCGATCGGAAACCTTTGACATTTCTAATCGGAACAATAGATGATTTAACTCTCAAATTAGAAAAATATAGTAGGTTATAGTAGGTTATAGTAGGTATTATAGTAGGTTCATCTTTTCGCTCGGAAACCCATCTGATTTCGAGACTACCCGATCGGATAGATTCCGTTTTGAATCAAAATCAGGACGCTGGTCAGTTGTCCGATGCACACGCGTTTCTTTGCCGCGTGCCGTTTTAACACACCGTGTGACATGTCTTTCTGTAGGGCTAGCACGACAGGATTTGCGCGGTAGCAACACGAAGCGCGAGATATTGCTATTCTCGCTTATAGATCTCGCGCTTTATATCGCTCTCATGAAGTCGCGGCCTGTCGTGCTAACCCTACTAATCTAATATGTTGTGACGCAGCGTCATAATGCAACGCCGACGCAATGCATCGCGTGAAATTAGGAACTAAAATCAAATTCCACTTCTACAGATGGTAACGAAGTTCAAATATCGCATTTCGACCTATAGCTTTAAGCGTGAAAAACATAGAGAGCGGGAGCGGGTCTGGCGCGAGTCGGGTCGGAACCACGGCGGGTCTAATTCCGTGTATTTATTTAAGAGGGAGCAGAGGAAAAATTCCTAATCTTCGATTTGATTTTAGAGGGGTATATCCACTTTAAAGTTAAAAATAAAATACTGTATGAGTAACTACACGATATATTCAAGCATAGACATTAATCAGAAACATAAAACAATAATGTTTCCTCGATAGAAAAAAATCACGAAATGACCTCTAATTTTCACATTTTTTCGATTTATCCTCGAAATGCTACAGGTTGTTAGGACAAAAATTAGATAATTAATTATATTTATGCATGATCGACAACTGTCACTACGGATTTTTTTAAATCCCTTTAGTTTTAGAGTTATTCCGCTAAAACGAATTTGGTACTTTTAATGCGTAAAATTCAACATCTCCTGTCGCATGTCACGCGAACTTCAGGCATATATTTGTTTCACAAATTTGGGCGGAGCCAACGTCAAAACTTTTTTGGCATGCTCCCTCTTAAACGATAACACACCGAGCGCAGGGTGTCAATGTGACCTCCTTGCATCGTCAATCCACCGTTTTATCACCTTTTCTCTGGTTCCTGACCACTTCGTTCCGTCGTCACTCTCTGCTCGAACGCCGTAGCGAGCAGTTCGGTTGTAATTTTCAAATGCGTCTCATTTTGATCCTTTTTCCAGTTCTCACACTAATCATGTGCCAATTTAACTCGGTCCTTTTGAGGTAAGTGTCTACTACGAATATAAATTCAACCATTAGCATATCCGTATATAATTAAGATAGGGAGTGTTTTATAGCATTGTACCTGTATTTTACGTACCTTTTCTTGTTACAGCCCATTGGCTTACAATTATATGGACGTGTCGGGTCCGCGCTAAAAAGTGTCCGAACTTATAGGGCGTTATAATCGTATACAGAGCGTCATTCACGCTTTAGTCTTCGTTTGTTCGACTGACAGCGAAGCAAGCGAAATTAGACAGTACTGCGATGACATTACAATTTAAATTCAACGGTTTAGCTTTTTCATATTCCTTTACATGTCACTACGTTTAAATAGGTTGACTTGGGACATTTTTGTCGTGGTTTTTGTATTAGACCCGTCGTCCATTTATTTGTAAGTCAATGTTACAGCCTTTCTTTCCTTTCTTTTCCTTCAAACTATCAAATAAATTTTTGTGGACCGTAGTATCATATTTTATTGCCATAATCCTGGTCACGGCACACTATAGTCCATTTGTTAAGGTACTTAACTAAATGTATACAATCTTGATACATCTTTTTATTGAAACGTTTACTTTACAAATCAATAGGTACAAAAATAGGCATGCAATTTCATATGAAGCTAAGTATTTGTATTTTGTATTTGAAAGAAAGTAAAAATCATTTTATAAATGTATATTTCGTTAAAAAGACATCTCAAGATTGTTTACATTTAGTCAAGTACCTAAACAAATTGACTATAGTGGTTTACAACCTTTTCATACTGACCCTTAAGGCATACGAGGTACTATAAACCTATTCACGCACATCAACCTTCTAAGTTGATGTTCTGACCCGAGATAAGAAAGTGTGACGGCACAACCTTTTCAGCGGGAACGAGACGGGGGCACGTGTCCGCGCTCAATGTGTCGTCGTTCATATAAATACACAGAATGAGACCCGCCGCGATCCCGACCTGAGCCCCGCCCGACCGCACTCGCTTTCATTGTGTTTCACGATTTAAAAAATATTCATTTGTAACATTTTGCAGCCACAGAGCTGTGAAAAAAGGAAAAGAAGGAAAAACAATAAGAAAAATAAAGGACACTACTGTGCTTGTGTAGGTAGACGTTCCACCTAGTATAGAAAGAAACTGCACTAGAACACCACGGACCTAGCGTTTTAATTCCGAGGATTTAAATTAATCTAGGAAATTCAACTATTTTTTCGGATCTATGTAATATTTCTTTCCAATTTGTGTCAGCCATGACCACAAATTACTGGTCATGTAAATAAAGGTCAAGAAACGTTGGTTTGTTTGAAAAAATAAACCAAAAAATATTCGTAAGTTACATTTAAAAAAATAGTTTCATTTAAATTAATCTAATTTTGTCTGTTAAGTAAAATATAAAAATATCGATAAAACATTACACTACATTTTAAATTTCTTTTGGTTTTTTACGTAAATTTATGATTATCTTATATAATTATTGTACTGTATTTTCAACTAGTGCGAGTTTTTAATTCAAAGAAACAAAATCAAATGTACAATCCACATAACACTTAAGGTTTGCATTTAAATATATAAACCAGGGTTCAAAATGATAATTACCTAATGATAATAAATGATGACAATTATCACAATAACTCCCATTGATCAGGATAATAAATTATAAAATTCAATCGAATAACAACGTCTTTGTTTGTACCGTATCCAAATGTATTAAATGTCAATCTCAAAAAAGACACAAACCAAATCGTTTTCCCGAAAGATTTTTCTTCGTGATGATTTAATTTTCTCGCTTCTCATCATTTTTAAACCTATTAAGCAGCATGGATAATATAATTATCTATGTGTGATAAATTATCAGATAATTATAATAATTATTATCAAAATAATTTTAATTTCTCGAACCCTGATTTCAGTACAACAGAAACTTAAATAATAACGCTTAAATTAAATGCATGAAATTCATTGATGATCAAATACCAGACAGGCCAAATTGCTGGTAGGGATTGCCCTCTGTACTTAAGAAACAAGTCTAAATTATCGTTTCCTGCTAAACAAACCCTGTACTACATCAACAGGCAAGCCCTTGGTTTCAGGCAACAGGAAAAATGTAAACACGGCAGTTGCAACACAGAGTCCTGCGAAGATATAGAACACTGGTCCAAGACCGAACCATATGACCAGAGGGTTGAACATGAATAGAAGAATGAAACAGGTTGCCCAGGACCATTCTATGACTAGAGTTGAGACGAAACTTTTTATCTGTAACAAAAAATTGGTAAACTGCGTAATTTGTACTGCGTAATTGCTAATTTACCTAACAAGGTATGTTCTTCCTCCATACAATAACAACTATGGAAAGCGTATCTGGAGATACATGTTACCATTACTGCTTAATAAATTGCCAAGTGACGTTTTTGATAAACTCATAGGTAAACCGAAAAATTATAAAACAATTCTTAAGTCAATTCATTTATCAAATTGTGAAAGTTGTTAAGTTTAAGTTGCGTAAATTATTAGAAACGTTTAAGTATTAGATATTAACTATTTTATTAGACGCCTGATAGCATGTGATGGCAGCGGTACATAAATTAATGGTTTTTATTCGCTGTTTTGTGTTTCTTTTTGTAAACTTTTTAATTGTGAATAAAATAAGAAACCCACCCATCTCTAGTTATACACACATGAATTTGCACTCACCTCAGGTAAAAATACATCAGTAACGAGAACATAAGGTATTGTCCCCGCTCCGAAAGTGTAACAGACACTGAAGAGATACATGAACAGAGCTGTGACCCAATGTGGAGCCCAGTGGAACTGTATCTGAGTGCCGAGAGCAATGCAACACACGGCCGCTGCTATTGAAGAGTAGATTAGGAGTGGCTGGAATTGTAAAAACAGACAAGAGTAATTAATGAAAGTATAATAATAAAAAGTGGAGTAATTTCACAAAAAATAATTGACTATTATAGTTTTATGGACTTGAACTTGATCACTACCAAGCTCTGGAGCAAACATAGGATCTACGATGGAACGAGCTTGCCCTGTGACTGTGAAATGACACTTGTCAGAAGAAGTCACAATAGCATCCTGAAAATGGTCGCGGGCAGGTTGAAGTACCAATCCTATAATATACTGTGCCTTATATAAACAAAGATCTCACCCGTCTTCCAGACAAATCGCTCAAGGTTCCACTCATCAAAGCAACGGCGAGAGTGATCAAAGCCTGTATGATACTGCATACTGTAGATGACATGTTTGGGACAGCTTCGTCGAACAATGGCTTGGCATATACTTGTAGCACGGTAAAACCTTGGAAGGTTCCTAATGCTACAAGAGACAGAGTCACGAATAGCGCCCGTCGTGTGGGGTATGATTTTCCTGCAAGAACATACATTTTTGTAAACTGAGTAAATTTTAAATAGCACTTCTTATGAACGGGTTCGTCTAGGGAAGTTCTGTCACCTTAACTATTTCTGTCGCCAAGCAGTAATGTGAGTGTAATTGCGTTCCGGTTTTTAAAGGTAAGAGCCAGGTGACATTACAGGCACATAGGACTTGTCCTTTTATGTCTCAGGGTTACGGGCGCAGTAGCAATGCTCTTCAGATCTTTGCGATTAAAAGCTCACCTCCCTTGATATCATGAAAAGAGACGAACAAATCGTGCTTGATGCACTCAGAGCTTTAAATCGTAAAGACCTGCGCGGTTTCTACGCCCCTCATCTTGAGATATAAAATAGATAAATCCCGTACACCTGTAGTTTCTCTAACCCCTTACACGCCGCAGAAATAGGTAATACACTTAACTGGTCCAACCCTTTCTCGAGCGCTCTGCTACTATTTAATAAAAAAAATTATTTCTCAAATAGACACAAATATAAATCAGCAACAGGCTTCGTCACATAAAAATCAATAAAGTAATTCGCCACAGGCTTAATCATTATTTATAAATTTTTAAGAATTACTTAAAAAGGACCTGTAGAGCCTGGATGTCTAGTAGGCACGCTATCAAAATGGATAACCTACAGCTATATTTTCCCCAGAGATCGAAATTTCGATTACAAATAGTGTAAAGTGTAATTACACCCTGAGACAAGTTGACAAGTCCGATGTGCCTGTAAATTCACCAGTACCTTTACCCTTCAACACCGGAACACAGTAATGCTGACATTACTGCTTGGTGGCAGAAATAGGTAAGTTGGCAGTACTATCATGACCGAACTCTTTCACAAGGACCTCTACTGCAACTATAATATTATATACAATAGGCCGTTTGCTTCGCTTGCCCCATGAGTGACACAGGCTCGGCGCCCCCTAAAACTCTGCGCCCATATGCGCTGCACACCCTGCACCATAGGTCAAGCCGGCATTGCTCAAAGGTCCCCATAACACTGACAGCATTACCGCGCAGAATGGACAACGAAATTTGGTGCATTAGGAATTTCTCAAATAGATTTAACTAGGAACCAGAATAGTTAACCCCATTGATGAAATCTCAGTACTCACTCATGAACTTCCAAAACGAAATTTTCTCCCTAACTTGCTGTTTTTCTTCATTCTCAGGTTTCAACGCAACCTCTTCCGGATTAGTGTTATCTCCGATTAAATCGGGGTTGAAGGCTCTCCGGAGGTTGTCCATCTCGTGCAGTACTTCCTTGGAATCTATCGCTGCATGCCTATAGAAGGCTATAGATCTAGCTGCTTCCTAAAAATCGAGAAAATTTCAATTGTAGACATAAAGAATATTAAGAAACATTTTTTTATGATAATCACTAATTACTTACTACGGTTTGATTTCTATTTATTTTCCCGATAGTTCGGAAGTTCCGGAAGTCTAGTGCTTGCAATAATAATAACAAAAACAAGAGTCCTTCAACTTCAGTTTCACGTGTGGATAGAGTGAGTGTGGTTTTTCAGAAAAATTATGAGAATGGTAACGTCACAAGTAATCGCAATAAAGGTAGTCGTCGATAGCGAAAGAGGGTAGAAAGATAAGTCTGTTCTTAAAGCTTGTCTCTGCCTCTAACCAGACAGCCCGTGATAATGAAGCATGTAGCCGTTCCGAAACATGGAGAAAACAAAAAAGAAATCATACCGTGGTAAGAAACCTGTGTAATTAGCGATAATCATTGAGTCAATAACCACGAAGGTGTTAAAAACCTATATTTATTATGATTAATAATTAAATTACACAAATAATCTTAAACTTTCAAACAGTATTCATGGATACAAAAATAAACACAATATTTTTTCTTATTCTAGGGAATCTTGTTACAGCCTATACTAGGGCGCCAACTTAAATATTAGATTATCCTCTACTTACAACCATATTAATGTTCGAATAGATATAGACATTTTTGATTCTTCCCGTAATGTTTTTAAAAATAACATTCTCGAATCGTTTCCCCAGTAATTTCATAAATTCTTTGTTGTTCTTTTTGTTGCTTATTATTATTTTATTACATTAAATGCCGTGTACGTCTGTAATAGGTACGTAATATAAATACAATCCTAATGTAACGTTACACTGTTATCTAAGAGTATATGTACTACTGTTGATGTACCTTATCTATAAAATAAATAAATATAGTATAGCTAAAATACAATTACAAGGGTTATACGCTGGTTGTGAATCTATAAAACTCAATTGTGTAAAATTTTGACTTAGGTACGGTGCTTATCGTAATCATGGTAGAATTATACTCGTAACTTCCTGTAGTTACAATATAAATAATAATAACAGTAACTATTGCGGGAAAAAGTTAGTAATAGACGCTAAAGGTTGGTTTTTGTAAATGAACATTTGCAAACACATTTACAATATTTCAAATATCGATCGAGAAAATTTGCAAGAGTTACACGATCACTACCGTACATACAGTAAAAAATCACTACCAAGGATTTTTGTCATCTATCATATACAGAAGCAGTAATTATATTAGTTTTTGTTTCAATATAGTTTTCAGATCGTAAATGGCAACTCTTGAATCTCAAATGTTATCTTATTATAGAATCATATACATTGCTCTAAGGTATGACATTGCTTCCTTGCTTTCGTACTGTTTATGCACGGTACTATTTGAACACGGGAGACAGTCCCATATCTTTATATATGAGTTTTGTTTATAATAATCCTCCCTGTCAACCTCTTGGTTATAAAGGAAGGGCACAATAGCTTGTGCAAGCAAGTCCGCACAGTGACCTTATCAGTCAAGTCCTGAACCCAGACTTCATCCTATTCTCAACAGGCCAGTTCCTTGGGTGAGCTGCCTCGAGTGCACGTCCAGCGCCCTCCGTATTGTCCAGATAGGTACCGAAGCTGTTAGCATGCTCTTTTCCCGTTGGATATTGCGCAACTAACGGCACGCTCACCTCTAGACGCCGAAGCGTCTCTCCAGTTCCCAGAAACTTACGCACCTGGAGGGATCGGAGGATATCTAGCACATCCTCTACTAGCTTTCCGGGCTTGTTCATCATCGCTTGATCAGTTGGTTACAGTGTCTCTGTCCCTTGTGCGTCCTCGCCATAGGCCCTAGACTAGTACCAAGGCAGGTGCAGTCCCATATCTTTCTACCTAAGTTTTGTTTATAGTACCCCTCCTTATCAACTTCTTGGTTATGCGGGAAGGACACTATGACATGTGCGAGCGAACCTGGGATCATCTAAGTCAGGTCTTAACCCCGGATCAGCCCGTTTGCACGGACTTCATCCGGTTCTCTGTAAGGCTAGTGCCTTAAGTAAGCCGCCCCGAGTGCACGTACAGTACCCTCCCTAAGCACGCTCACTTCCCGTTGCGCATTGCACAACTAGCGGTTGCCACCGCTAAGCCGTCTATAGAGTCCACTACCAAATATCCTCATTGGTGGCGGAGCTGTAAGGCACGCTCACTTCCCGACGCCGAAAAACGACATCTCTCCAGTTCCCAATAACCTAAGCGGCTGGAGGGACCGGAGGATATCTAGCTTATCCTCTACTAGCTCTCTCTCTATGCTACCGGGGCAGACAAACGTATCCAGTCCTACAGCTATAAATAAATAAATAAAGCTAACCAAAAACCCCTACGAGTCCATACCCCTATCTAGGTCCGCCGGAGACGCCCGTGAAGGCCTGTCACTGGTGGAGGACTTGGCGCGGACCCCCGCCGTACCTGGTCTTACCGGTAAGCCCGTAGACTCCCATGAACTCCCAATCTCTCGAGTCGATAGATAAGAGGAGCACGGGAGACAGTTGAAATGTATAAGCGATTAATTTAGATTGTCTAATATTAGTTGTTTATTGTAACATGTTAATTTTCTTAGACCTTACCTCTACTCTTCCCTTCTTCATCAAAAACGTTGGACTCTCCCTCAAAATTCCAGTCAGAAACACCCCCACTATAGCAATTGCTAAGAAGGTATACAACATCGTCCTGTAACTTGTCCATCCTCCCAAAGCATACGATAGGAGAATTCCTAGAGAACAAAATAACAGAGACCCTGTAGTCATTGATCCTGAAAATGAGAAAAACAATTTGTTTTTATCTTTGGTTAACTGACCACACTACTAGCTAGTAGAAGGTGATGGATTTGATACCCAACTTGGGTCTGCATTTCAAAGTCAAATAATCTTTATTTCATAGGTAAGCAAATTATGTTTGAAACCATCATATTGATTTAACTCTGCTGCTCATTCGTAAGACAGATTTCCTTGAGAAGAATGAGCAAGAAACTCTAGGGCTTGCTCTTTGTAAATAAACACTTGTATACATTTATCATATTATAC